ATTTCCAATATATGGTATATTCAACTCAGATTCATTTTTTTTTTTTTTTTTTAGAATTACTTATATGCATTTTAATTTTAAGCTGTTTTTTCCAAGTGTTTAACGATAGGCTTATTGCAACAATTTTGTGGCGTTTCTTCAATTAATTCAATAGTTCAGTTCATTTTTCAGAAACATGTGTGATTCAGCTAAGAAAATGAAAGATTCAAGTGTTAAAAACGATGTGAAAAATGATTCAACCGATCAGTTAAGCCGGAGACAAAGTACAGATAAAAAGAAATCTTCTGTCAAAAGTACGAATGAAGATGTTCAACGCGCGATTGAAGGTTTAAAGGATATACCGGATGAAGAACTTCAAGAGTTTCTAGATGATGAAGATTTCATGCAGGGATTGGATGTTGTCGACGCTTGGGAAGGGGATGAAGAAAAAGGACGCGAAACTGAATTAAAAACTACTCGTGTCAAGGAGCAAGAACCGAGACGTCCTTCTAGGTAGCATCAATAATGCAAAATAATTCTATCTATAATTTTATCTATAAAATGTTATTAAAACATAGAAACCTAATATTGTAATTTCAATAACCAGTACATTGTATAATTAACATAGTTCACGTTGAAAACTATTTATATTCTTTCTTTTGAATGATTAGTAATGTATAAGAAGAAATGATTGCAAGCCTAATTGTAGGGACAGACATCGGCGCGATCGCAAAGGATCATACAATCGTGAAAGACCAAAGAGAGAAGAGAAGAAACATGAAGAAATACGACGGGATCCTTCGAAAAGCACAAAAGATATAGAGAGGGATAAGATACGTACAAAGAGAGATAACGAAAGCAAACTTTTAGCAGCAAAGGAGAAAGCAATTAAACACTTATTAGACTCTGACAATGTTGTACCTCCGGGTACAGAGGTTGAAGCTATTCAAAGTATTACAGAGAAACAAAATCTGGAGCAAGCACAGATGCATATCCGTAGAAGTCGTGAACGACGTAGAAGCGTAGAACGTCAAAGAGGGAACTCGTCGCGACACAGAACTCCGGATAGAATAAGATTAAATTCTCCTCGACGAAAATCTCCATTAATGTTAAGTCCGGAACGGTGTAGAAGTCCTTTTAAAATAAGCAGCGAAAGACATCGGAGTCCGTTAAGGTTTAGCCCTGATAAGAGAAGAAGTCCAAGATTTAATTGCACCCGCAGAAGTCCGTTCGGTTTTAGTCCAGAACGACGAAGAAGTCCTATCAGACGACTCAGTTGGGAAAGAAGGACGAGTACGGATAGAAGATGGAGTGCTGAACGACATAGAAGACGTATGAATATTCATGAACGGTGAGAAGACAATGTTTTACTTCAATTTTATTCTAGACTTAACGATCATTTTTGTAAAATGTATCTCAATATGTTGTAAATTTTAGTTCATATCTTAATAAAGTATTTTAAATTGTTAAGCCGAAGAAGTCGGTCCCGGGATCGGCAACGAAGTCGCAGTATGGAACGTATTAGAAGAAAAATTAGCCGGTCACCGGTTAACAGACGTTACAGTCCTCGACGTCGCAGTAGAACACGAAGTAGATCAGTGGAACGTCGAAGAAAACGATCGCCTTTCATTAACGAACTTACAAGACAATTTCGAAACGAAGCTATCATGACATCTCATATAAACACTGGATACGCGCACCCTTCGTCAATTGATGGTATACAACAACCTATGATGAATTCGGTTATGTATCAGCAAGAAACAGAGCGCAGACCATTATTACCAATACCACCTTACATGCATCAACCTGGACTACCACCGCCTATGCCATCGAATGTAACACCTGGTGGACCACCATTTATGAACTTTGAAAATTCGTCTCAGTCAATGAATTTTGATTCTGTACCGTTACATCCGTTGCCTCAGACCGAATACGTTTCTGGCCCGGTGATGTACAATCAACCAAATACTAGTACAATTCAACCTCCTCATCGACCACCACTTCTACCGGCACCAGTTTCTTCACCACAGCCTGAACCTACAGCCTCGACAGTTGTGGATCATGTACAGACATACAACTCAACGCATGGCATTCCTTCGTCTAGACAGTCTCCAATACAGAATTTTGAATTTCCAAATAAATCTAAGGATGCTATATCTCCAAGCTACAGGGAACGGAGATTTACGGATTCTTATAATGGATATCATGGTTCGCAAGAGGAACGATTGAAGACACCCGAACCACCAGTCATCTCCGACACAAAAGTAATTGCATTACATATATACACTGTAATAGAGATTCTATATATTTTTTTTTGTATATTCTTCAAAACAGATATTTATATGCGCCTTTTTCATTTAGTCTATGTTTTTTTGCCCCTTTATACAAAAATTAATATTTATTTTGTAAATTAATTTTACAGCAATTTGAAAAGACGAGTTTATCGAGTCTACTGGAAGCATCTGTTTCCGCTAAAGGTGCGAACACATTTTTAATTAGTTATTGTGAAAATTCATCTTTATATATACGAATTTTCTTTACTTTATTCTAACGAGTGAAATTAATAATTTACATTTCATGTCTTATGCGTTTCTTTTAGATTCAACTAGTCTACCAGTTTTATATCCAGGTAAAAATATTTTAATTGTTCAGTGATTTAATTACATTTAATATCTAATGTGAGAAAGTTAAACTAATATTGTGAATCAACGTATTTTAATTAATACCAAAGTGATACAATAATAATATGAATATTATTCTATGCAAATCTTTTTTCCGCAATAGGATTCAAACCGGAAATATTACGACATTGTGAACACGCACTACGTGAACTGCCTATTGAAGATCCTCGATTAAAAATGAAAGGGCGATTTTTTTACGATCCAAAGAAGAAAACTGTCCAAAGTGAGCAGGAAGTATATTCCTCAAATTCCATACTTCTACAAAGGAACAAAAGCAAAATATATTGGGACGAGGAAGAGGTACAACATCCTGCTCCTACGAAACAGACTGTACAAATGCATCAAAAGATCTGTCAGACCGACGATGTAGAAATAAGTACGAAATACGTTCAAGCAACCGTTACTATGGTAGATTTCGAAGTACAAGTTTATCCTCAAGATTTGCAACAAGCAATTAAGGAAGAGAAAAGACCTATTATGGATCGTTTGGACTGGAATATGCGTGAAACAGTTGATTATCCACCCAAATACCGGGAAGCCGATGACTTAAGGTGGAGCTTAAGTAATTCTCAAAAACGAACATGGAACAGAACAGCGTCTCCTTCGAGACGGCTCGACGATCGTGAACATCGCCCTGATTCTGTATCTTCATTAGATCATAACTCAAGAAATTTAAAGTTAGGATCACCGATAAGAAATAGAGATAACTTTTCAAGTCACAAAGGACCTGGCCGGGATCATTACGTTCGTGAAAGATACTCGCCAAACTATAGGCATTCTTTAGACGAACGTGATGATTTCCAAGAAATCAGAAGTGATCATAGCCGTGGGGAAAGTCCGATGATGTTAGATGATTCTGCAGATGAAGAATTGGAACATACATTCCAAAGAGGATCCGATTGGCATGGAAGACCGAAATTGTCAAGAGGTAGATCAAGTTCTTTGATGAAGCCGCATGTGTACAGAGGAAAGCATTCGGGAGGAAGATCCTACCGTGGCCGTGGAAGTTTTCGTGGGAAATTCTAAAATTTTTTGTGTAAAGCACAAATGAAAAATATTGTAGAATCATATAATCAAATATAACAGTATATCAGACAAGATATAATCTATTCTTGCAAAAATTTTGAAGAGAAAAACGCTAAATTATGCATCGTTTCTTTTTTTCTTTAATTTTAAATGAGTTTCTGTCGTTTTTATTAAAGTTTATCTTTAAATGATATCACTAAAATGCATTTTAAGTAAAGATTGAATCTAAGCATTAAGTAATAGGTGATAAAAAATACAAACATGTACATGGCAACTACTCTTTGCACAGATATAGTAATATTATATAAAGTGTAAATTACAAAGTTATTTGTACGCAACGTTGGTTAAATAAACGTTCTATATGACAATACAAATCTTGCAAAGAGAAATATAATTTACAGTGTTACTGGTTTATCAATCATATATTGATGTCATGATAACTATAAATTTCGACACATCCTATACTTTACAAGTTATGATTATTTTAGGACAAATGATTAATTTTTTTTTTTTTTACAATAACTAAATTATCGTGACGTGCTTTGCTATGATAATTTATTGGTAGTCTTTCATTCATAAATCATTAAATTAACAAATATGTAATAAAATATTTTAAATAATGAAAAGTAAATTATTATTTGTTATTTGAACTTTACTTTTCTTTATTTTTTACTTATATTCGCACATAATTTTAGGGTACATGTTTAAATAATTAAATTATTGAAAAAATATACTTTTTAACTGTAAAACATTTTGCATAGAGTAAATGTATGTATATGTTTATATAATTAGTGACAAAGTTATGTCGCTATTACACTTTTCAAGTAAAAATAAAATGAATAAAGATTGTTAATTATTGCTACATATTTTATAAACATTTCTAGGTTACCTGAAATTTTTTGCAATTTTTCAAACATATGTATGTTGAAATGCAAAAAATAAATTTAACATGTACATTTCAAGATCCTCATTAAGGTTTATATAGTTTTTGAATTAATTAAAAATACCGACTAACGAAAACGCGCAGACTCAAACTGAACGCCGAGAGCTAAGCTCTCCTCTCGAACGTAGAGGGGATCGCAGTCCCCACACTTTCGCGATGGGGGCGCCATTTAGCGGTAGATGCTTGGTATTAACTCCAAAAATGGTCAGTACCTATCCAGTTTTCGAATCTAGGCGGGAAAGTTTTATCCCTTATATAAATGCATTTTTTGAAAATATCTCGAGAATTAATAATTTTTTGCCATGGTACTCTAATACTTTTTCACCTATAATGTACATTTCCATTTAAAAAATGATGCAATTGTTAATTGCACGTGCACTGTTTGTGCCATTTATAATACAATACATATGTATTTTACAGAAAAGCATTGAATCCTCCAGAAATTTCTACTAGTTGTGCGACTGCCCAGTTTGCCGCTATAAACGTGTACGGTCATTAATTGATCATCGAAAAGAGGGAGTGAATTGTTGCAAGTAGTGTGAAAAATCTTAATACTTTTATAATAGATACAATTGTTAAAAAAGTTATTGACTACTGTTTTTTCTCTATCTTCATTTTCATAAATTATATTTGTGATTCAATATAAACAACGCAATGTCTACGAAAGCTGATGAGGTAAGCAAACGAATGTTCTTATTCAGATTGTTATAGGTATTGTAAACCAAGAATCTTTTTGTTTCTGTTATCGAATAAATATAACATATATTTAAATAAACAAATTATCGACTAAGTAAAATATTTCTTTACGTATGTATAATAATATGTGTACTGTAATAAAACGTATCACGTAATATTTTGTTATAAATTTTTATAATTTGAATATTGTATTTTATATTGGAACTGAATAAAAATACACAAGAATATTAAATATATTTTATAACATAACCTACACAGTTGTACATTTGGAATGTTTTTGTTTTATAGTTAAAACTGGATATCGAGGAATTTAATGAATTACTTAGACGTGCAGGCAGACAAAGAAGCAAAGATGTACTCAGTCTTGAAATCAGAAGATTACAAACAGAATTAGCAAAATTGATTGAAGAAAATACATCATCATCTATAAAACCAACCCATTCTGTATCAAATCCTCAAAAATGTTATGAAGTTAAGCTTAATAACTATGGTTGGGATCAAACAAATACAACAATGAAATTGTATGTTACATTACCAAATGTACATCAATTGCCTATGGAAGCTGTGACTTGTAATTTCACTGAGAAGTCTTTGGATCTCCGTGTTCTTGGATTGGACAATAAAAATTATAGTTTAACAATTAACAATTTGTGTGAAGAAATTGATGTAAATCAAAGTTTTGTTAAAATAAAAACTGATATGGTTGTTGTGTCTCTTGCCAAAAAAGTTGCAAAGAATTGGTCACATGTAACAGGAGTAGAAAAAAGGATTAAGGAATTAAAAGCAGCTGCAGTTTCAGATATGAGTAATGACAGTGATGTGGGTGCCTGTTTAATGAATTTAATGAAGAAAATGTATCAAGAAGGAGATGATGAAATGAAAAAGACAATAGCTAAAGAATGGACAGAAAAAGCAGCTGGACTGCCTAACATTTTTTAATTTTATCTTTACATATACCTCAAGTTCATTAATATTCTAAATTATTAATGTACAAAGTAAGTTTAGGTACAAAAACACAAAATATATCGTTTGTATATGTTTCTATCAAATAACTATTAATTTTATAAAGAGGATATAGCTTTAGGCCTACTACATTTTTCCAAAAGTAATATATTTTTGGTTAAATAAAGTATATTATGTTAATTGTGTAGAACTGGGATATTTTATTATTTGCTGCCATAATTTATTCATGTTACTATTGTATTTAACAATGGTAAAGTAGGATATATTTTTTAATTCTGTGTTCAGATAATATCAGTTGCTTTTTAAACATATATCATTAATGATAATTTTAATCTCTATTAAGTGTACAGAGATTTCTACAGAGAATAGCATGCTATTATACGTCACTCTTTGCATACACCTAAATGACACACGGATGCAATGACGTAGAATAGCATGCCGTTAGTTGGATGCAATAACTGAGGTAACGCTGAAATCAGTTTCTATTCGGCCTCGACGTTCGCATCACCTTAAAAGTGTATGTAAATTTTTAATATTACAACTTTTTATTCATATTGAGTAACATGATTCTGTAAATTACAGTACAAGATACGAAAAAATAATTATAAAAATGGCACTTCAAAATAAATTAGTTTGCATTAAAAATATGTAATTTCTGATTTCAAATATTTACAAATGCAAATATTATCTAGGCTGTAAATTACATATTTTTCAATTACGTTCGTTATCTTAGTAAGCCTTGTTTTAAAATATCATTGTTAAGTTTACATTTCTACATATTTATGTTCCTAATAATGAGATCATAGTGTAATCTCACACATAGTTTTCTTATTCAACATTTTTAATTTAAAATCACAAAAAAATGGAGTATAATTTAATGCATTCTATCTATTACTATTACTATTACTATTATCCTAATTTAGCAGTTTATTAACCATGGAAATAGTATAATTCTTAGAGGAAATTATGTATGCCAAAGGAATACAATACAATATTAGACATTACTTCACTAATTAATATTTAATTATAAATACGAATTTTATAGTAGTTTATGAATTTTTCCAAATAAAAACATTAAAGTCATGTTCATAATTTTGGTTGAATGTTATTCACGTTAACATTGAATGAATCATTTATGTAGATATAATTTTCATTAGGCTTAAAATGTTTTAAATTATCAATAATACTTACATTTTACTACAAATGTAGGAATGTAAATAAATGGAAATATTACAAAAAGATATATACATTGCTTGTCTATAACTTACCATCTTTGTATATCAAAATGTATGAATGAATGGAAGCATGTAATACATTTGTAATAGTAGATATACTGTCCGAAATAAAATGTGCTTCATATAATTTTGATTCTTAATTATTAATAGTTTCATATAATTTCATATAAATGTTTCGAAAAAAAACTGGTCATACAGTTTACTGTATAATGATCTAAATGTGAATGTATATGAATATTAATATTTAAAAAATTTGTAAAATGGTTTTAAATTTATAATATATACAATACAAAAATAAAATTAAGATTGCCATTTGTTTCTCAAAATTCCTACGTACTTTTATAAAACCTGTTTTATAGTGTAATCTTTTTCTTATTACGTTCTTAAGTATAAAAAAATTATTATTATTAAAATAATAATGACTAAGAAAACACAGGAAAATGTTCTTTGGTTTTCAAGCTGAGACTTAGTTAAAATCATAGTATGAATGATAAAATTTTTACTCAATTGATAAAAAAATGACTAAGAAGTTACTCTAAGAAGTAATAGAAGTATTTGAAAACTGTACTTCACAACTAGTTGTATGAAACACTTCCATCATAACATTTTTTGTCTTTTGCATTAAATGTTCAACATCATCTTTATTTAATCCCTCTGTAGATATTGGTGGTAATGATGTTATAATAACTCGACCTTTAAATCATTAATGTACAATTATTTTTTGTTTTTAATACTTGTCTTTAAATATATTTATGGAACTTACCAGAATCAAATCTTTTTTCTTTTGAAGATAAAAAATAATAAGAAGAAAATACAACTGGTAATATAGGTAATTGGGAGGTAATTGCAACATGAAAGGCACCTTTTTTGAAGGGATGAATTTTACCAGTATTATATCTGGTGCCTTCAGGGAATATCCATAGTTTAATCTACACGAAGGATAACATATAAAAATAAATATACGCTTACATAATTAGAAATTATTCATTTATACAAGATGTAGTAAAAAGTAAATTACCTTTTTATCTTTAATATGATTTGTGGCAGTATTAATAACCGTGCGGGCTTTTTCTGAATTCATTCTATCTATAAATATCAATCCACAAAGCCAAGCAGCCAAACCAAAGGGCCATGCATAAAAAAGTTCCTTTTTTGCTACAACTGTGCACTTTTCCATTACAGGCCATATTTGGAACATTCCCATTATATCTAAAGAACTTTGATGATTTGCTACTATTATACATGCCCTTTCTTGTTCTAAATGTTCTCTACCTCTAAGTTCCCAGCGGACTCCCAACAAGTTAGTGAGACAAGAACATACAGATGATGCCAATCTAAAAGTATATTTTTTACATTGCATTTTATAAATAAGATTTCTCAATATTGAGAAATGACAGAAAACTCTTCAAATTATATATATACATTATAAAAAGAAATACTAAAGAAACATTGGAATAAAAAAAAAACAGTAATTATATTTTTATTAAAAAACAAAATTCATATTATTATAGTAAAAATAAAAACTAAAAACTGGTGTTTATTATAAGTGCTTTCTCAAAGTTAAACAAATAAAAATATTTGTCATTCACTTCAATATTTTATTGTGATATTTTGGTTATTTCAAAATTTGAAACTGCTATTCTTATGTCTGTATTAAACAATAGATTTAATAAGTTATAATGTTATAACATCATTCGTAATTTAAACGTTTGACATTTGCAAGAGAACATAAAGAAAACAACTCAAATGACTAAATACCACCACCATATCGAAATTGCTGCTTATACACTATCGTTCAATAAATTTGTTCTACTATACATCTTTAAAAATATTTATTGAATAAAATTGAATACTGAAGCATAGTATGAAAAAGGATGATAATAAAAGAAACAAAAGTAATGACAAAATAAATTTATATATATTTTTAAAATATTTACTAACATAAAATTTTTTACGTTCTGGGGACGTAATATCATAATTGGGAGTAATGTAATAGAATTTATCATCACATATCCATAGTACAGAAGGAATTTGAAATAATAACGAAAGATCGTGCTCATTTCGTATAAGAATGGTAACACAAGGATAAAACCGACTAGGATCACTTCAAAACACGACGGTGCCATCTTTTATTGCAATAAAGGGCGGATACCGCACGAATATAATATGTATTTTCTTTATACTGCACCAACAAAATTAGAGTACACTGCTTTATATATATGTAAATATGTGTGTAATATAATTTATAAGATTTTAAGCAACGTAATGCACTACAGAAAGCTCTCAACTCTTAAAATGAGAGTCCAATCAATTAACTATCCGTCAACCGCTTTTGTGTTGCCTGATTCCGCGGTTTCAAGAGAATTGCATTACACACGCGCTTTGTTTCCAACACCTCTTTCTCAACCCTCACTTTTAAGACTACTTCTTCATTCTTAACTAGTTAACTCCCTCAATCTGTTACTGCTTTTAGTAGCTTACATTTGGCTCGACAATGGTATTCTATATACATATATGATAACTACATATACATGTAGCACGACTAATAGAACCTGTATTCACATTCACAACCCTTGCAGTTTGTATCTCGATCTGAAAAATTCGCTATACTCTATAATCGTTCACTACCCCCATTCTCTCGATACCTTCACTTTCGTTACATTTAAAATAAGATATACATTTCTATTGGAAAACAAATCTTAAAACATACATTTAAATACCATTTAATTGCCATAGTTGATCTTTTATATACATTATCGGCTATAATTGTATCAAATGTTTAGTTCGCTACATGAAGAATGTTATTTAAAAGTAAAATCCTTTCAGTAATATATGTGTGTACATACATTATTTATTAATTGTTACACACTAAATATCAATTGGTTATTAACATAACTTTTACACTATAATGTATAACAAATTATAATTTGATATTAAATTGTGTGCTAAATACTGTCGAATGAAACTTAAAATATAAATTTTAGCATCTTAATTATTTCCACATACAAAATAGCGTTAGAGTAAAACTGTACCATAAAGTTTAAAATATCGATTGTAGTATCGTATCGAAATTCATTCGATAGTTAACGCGGCAAATAATAGAGATATAGAATTTTAAACTTGCCTGAACATTAAGTGGAATTCGCACCAAACGGTTTCATGCAGTTAGGTTAGGTTAGTGTGCAAAATATTTCGCCGCATGGTATAATCTAAATTTATATCAGAATCACCGTATTCGACGAATGATACAAAGAATTTGAACTAATTTAAAACTAATAACGTAGCAGGTTTGTATATTTAATTAATAGTATTTAAATCAAGTCTGATGGTAAATTTTAATGTATAACTTGCTTATAGTTTTCAGAATTTAATTTTCGGAATATTAATACGTTTATTTATACTTTGATTTACGAATTCTGTAGTAAATCATTTAATTATAATAAAATTTCTAAAATACTATAAATTCTGTAGTAAATCATCAAACATAAGTGAATAAGAAATACTTAGAGATGCAAACAAATTCACAAAAATTTGAAAACGTTAGAACTACAATATTATCATTATTACTTGCAAGAAAAGGAGGAAGTACATTAAGACAATTAGATAATGATTATTGTGAAGTAGAAGGTGCATGCATACCATGGAAAGATTTTGGGTATGTGTCTTTGTTGAATTTTTTACAAAGTATGTCAAGGAATATTCAAATAGAACGCAAAAACAATACAATCATCCTGAAAGGTATTGCAACCGATAAATCTAAACATGTTAGTAAATTAGTGGCTGGTCAAAAAAGTCAGACAAATGTAGTTGGAAGAAAGATATTTAAACCGAGTCATTATTATCCAAAGACATCTCCCCCTAAATTTCATATACCAGCTGACATATTACTAAGGATAATTGATTTAATTAATGATCATCCAGATGGTATAAACAAAGATCATATACTTCAAGCGGTACAATCACTGATGCCTTATGCAAATATTCAGATGCAAGACATGGAAGAGCAGTTTAGAGAACTATCGCATAAGATCTTTCTAACAAATCATAAGGTTTATCCTAAGAATTGTTTAAAAAAGACTAATGGTACGTCTTCTTCGAATTGCAAGACATACGATGAACAAAAACAGACATCACCAATTGTGACTGTTGGTGGAGAGGAAGATTCAGATGATATGTTAGATGATCATGATGATGATGAAGATGATTTTAGATTTACTCCACATTCATATAATGAATCAGCTACAAACATTAAGCCTACATCTAATTTTATAAAGGAGACTGTCTCTAAGTATCAAAATCAAATTACAGAATCTACATCAAATGTACAATGTGAACATAATAATTCGCATTATTTACATGACCATAATCTTAATAATGCTGTTCAATCTCATATAGAGTATAATAATAATGCTACGGAAGAAAGAAGAAACAGTTTGGACGGTAAAAATGGTGAAATACTTATAAATGATAGAATCAAATTTCGTTTAGAAAAACTTATACAAAATCGTCCGAATGGAATTTGGTGTGCTGAATTACCAGAAGTGTATTTAGAAGAATATAAAGTCTCTTTAAATTACACAGAACTTGGTTTCAATAGTGTTAGAGAATTTGCATCACAGTTACCCGAAATTTTTCATTGTGTACAACCTCATGGTACAGGAGATTTTATGCTTTATTATGCTAAAATGGAAATACCTTCAGATAAAATTAAAGAAACATACAAAACTAATATTCTTGCACAATTACATCAAATTTATGAACCAAGAGAACAAGAAGCACTTCCAGTAACAGTGGTAAATAGATCTGGTTTAAATTATGTAAGGATATCAACAATTTTTATCAATATTATTAATATTGTTTAATAATATAACATTTCCAGTCACTTGATATATGTAAGGAATTAATACCAGATGATACAATGAATATTGGAGAATGTGTGGGTTATTTAAATGTCTTAGATTTAACACAGAATGAGAAACTTTATACAGAAGTGCTTGTAGTGGAAGTGTTTACACCATCATTTTTTTGGATACAACTTCGTAAAAACCAAAGAACATTTAAAAAATTCATGAATGAGTTACAGTATGTATAAAAAAAAAAAAATTGAACAGTTATTACAAAGTTTGTCAAATTTATATTCATAATTATCTTTTGCAGTAATTTTTATGTAATGAAAGGGGATCAGTATGTAGTGCCACCCCTTGTGTTAGAGAAGGGTTTAAATTGTGCATGTACATACAATGGTATATGGCACAGAGGTATAATAAAGACAGTAAAACCTGATTTACAAGTCACTGTAGGTAACAAAAATAGTAACAATTTAATTAATTGTGCTTGGTATGATAACTAATATTAATAACGATTTATTTTAGGTGATGTTTTATGATTACGGTACATTGAAAACATGCCCTCCAGACGCAATACATTATTTACATAGAATGTTCTCTTATCTGCCAGCACAAGCAATTCCATGTGGTTTAGTTAATACAAGGCCATATAAGGCAACTAAATGGACTCGCAGCGCTACCCATCATTTTGCGATGAGGACACAGATGCCGTTAATTGCAACAATTGCCTCAGTTAATACTGAGGTAAAAATATGTATTAAGTAATAAACATAATGGGTTTACTGTATTTAAAATTAATTATTAATGTATTGAAAATTACATTTTCTTTAATGTAGGATAATTCGATGATGGTAACGTTAACCGATACCACAGAAGAAGAGGATGTCCATATCAATGACTGGTTAGTTGAACAAAAATTAGCCGAACATGGAAAAATGGTTTGTACAAAATATCGAAACTTTTCATTCCGTTATTATTTAGAATGTCAAGAATGTTTAAAAAAAAAAAAAAAAATATTTAAATCTTTTAAGAAAGATAAAGCAACACAGTGCGACTATATACTGTCTGAAAAATATTTTCAAAACAAAGTATTATTAAATGATACAAACGCTAAAGTAAAGTCAGCAAGTGAAAATGGTAATAATCAAGCAGATATTAATGAGGTAGATTTAGCATCTAGGAATGAAATCAAGAAAAAGTTAAAATTTCTTAAATCTTGTAGTATTCTCCAAAATAAGGTTCCAATTCGTGATCATATATTAAATTCTAGAGATAAATCACCAAGAAAATTAAAATCTTTGTATATAAAATTATTAAACTTCAAGCAAATATCACATTCTAATAAAATTAATGATAATAATAATAACAACAACACTAATAACAGTGATGATAATAAACAACTTGATAAAGTGTCATCGAATAAATTAGTAGAACAAAAGTTACATGAAAAATCTCCTGAATTAGATACTTCCGCCGTTTTTAACTTCAATAATAATAATAATAATAATGATAATAATAAAATTAATAAAATTTCAAGTAATAAATATGATATCTTGGATAAATTTAGCAACATTCCAAAAGCATATGCTTATCATTTTTACATACATGATTCAGAAGATGAATTGGACTTAAACTGTATAAAACGTACAGATAAATGTATTGAACAAAATGAGGAAAGCTATATAGACTGGTCTACTGTTCATAAAAGTACACCGCAAAAGGTAGAACATGTATCGCATGAAAATGTAGTCAAAACTACTCATGAATTAGTTTCAAAAACGAAGGATAAGATGCCGTTACCCGAAAGTTGTTTTTTAAAGGCAGTTCATAACAGTTCCTATTTTGCCGCAAATGATAAAGATATATGTTGGTCACCAAATGGAAATATTAATAAAATACATGATATCCCTCCAGTACTGTTAAAAAATATTAAAAAGTGCATAACGAATGAACCTGAAAGTATAACAGTTGCTCTATCTAAAAAAATATTAGAAACATTAACAGAAAATAAATTATCAATGGAGTCCCTTGAATTGCTTACATCTGTACCTAGAAATATGAATGAAGTGCAATCTAATAGTTCATTGAACGAAATCAGCAGCGTGAATTCTGACAATAAAGTAGCGCATATTAAAAATTCTGAACATCATTTGGAAAATCAGAAAGAAAATCATTATTGCTTTATGAAAGTACTTCCTTTTAAAAATAAATTATTAGAAAAATTATCGGCGATGCAGAACATATCAGACAATAGTTCGAATCTAGATTCGGATGATTTAAGTGATTCAAAAAACTCTACATCATTGTGGCAAAATATTGATAACAGTAACGTGAATCTTGATTCAAAAAATAGTTCGACTGATCTCTCCTCGGAAATTGATACCAAAGATTTTTCAGACCCTATCAAAACAGAAAATACAAATTTAGATATAAAGAAATCAGAATTAAAATCTACGATTAATGAATATGAATTACATGAAACGCGAACATCAGTTAAAGGAACATTGTCATTGGAAACTTCAGTATCAGAAAACAATACAGAATCCACAGAAGAAATAATCTCAGATCAATTAATATTATCTGATGCATCACTATTAAATATAAAAAAAATAAAAGAATTAGAACAAACCAAAAAACTGCTATCGAACAAAGAAATAATACCAATCGAATTAAAAGAAGTCGTAAAGGAATCATCTGAAATAATAAATGAAATATCTAATGCACCAGTTTTTAATGACATTGATATAGAATCTGATGAAAATGAATGGGATGTCCATGTAGCACCTACTGAACTTCGTGACATACTTAAAAATCAGTTTGGTTTTAATATTGAGAATTGTTTGACTTATAAATCTGATTCAAGTTTGAAAATAACAGAGATTAATGATAGAAACTCGATAGAATATGTGGATAGTGTAGAAAGCTCTCCAAATACGGAAGATGATAATAACGAAA